AAAAAAATAAAAAAATCAATCGGTATAGAGATGGAAATCGCTCTCTCTATTCTTCCGGTAAATCTCTTCCCCCACAACTGTGAGAAATCTATTGCTCTCTTGTCTTGTTTAATGAACAATAGAAATGACACTATCCACGGACCGTGGTCAAGCTTAAATTTAAGTTGGCTAAGATTGATTTGTTTTCTTATTTTAATTAAGTCGCATATATATATATTGTAAATACATAAAAACTTGGGTTGAACGGAGTAGATGGGAAGAGAGATTGAGGGAGAAAGTGGCTGAGCTATCTTAGAGAAAATAGTTGCCTACGTATCTGGAAGTGACCAAGTCTCAGAATCAAGCCTACGTAGTTCGTTTATATAGGAGATTTGGGACAACGGATAGTTCATTAATTATATAACGGAAATAGCAATTAATGAAGGGAACGTTACATAATCAATGAAAAGATTTGTAACGTAGGAAGATATTTGGAGCTCGTATGAGGTCATTAAGACGAGGTATTGAGCTCGGGTGAGTTCGCAAGTGCGAGATAGTGAGGTCGAGTTATAAATAAGTTTGAGTTCGCATATGAGCTCAAATGGTAGTGGATGTATTTGACGTAGGAAAGTAGGGTATGTACATATATATAAAATCTGACAGTGTTTCGTTCAATTTGTTTTACTTTTCCTAGATAGAATATCTTCTAAGAAACATGTTGTAGGTTTGTAGGACTTAAAATGCTCTTCGGCTAGGAAACTAGCTAGGAAAACACTAAATAACGTAGAACTTCAAGGCCCGAAGGCTACATCAAAAGCTCCCGAAAGGGTTATATCTTAAACTAGTCGTAACTATTTAAGCACCCAGAAGAAAAATAATTGTAACTTCTACAACATAGGCTCAATCCAAACGGGGACCGGAGTGACCACCTTAAGCTCTTCTGGAGGGTAATACAGTTCAACAGTAGGATCTTCAAGGCTGAATATTCCCATATCATGAGGTCCCTTCATAGGTTGAAGTTCCTCTCCAAAGTCGTGCTCAAAGTAGTGGTCATCTGTAAAATATACAGAATTAGGCTTGCATTCGGGATAATCATCTGAAGCTGAGAGTGACAAAGAACCATTGTCCCCTAGAAACAACACATGTCCATCTAGATTATCCATTTCAATCCACTTCAAGGCAATTGAATCCAGCTTGAAGACTCTGAATCTATTGTTCTTTTCCGACCCTCGTATTACTTGTAATAGGTCGCCAGATGATTCCACTAGATATCTTATGGAAAAAATCAATTGCGGTTCCAAGGGTGGTCCAATTTTTGTTGCAGTGGATGGAACCCGATTCAAATCCCATGCAAACACTTGTCCGGACTTCTGAACTGCATAGAAGTGATCTCTGTAGACTGTAGTAAATAATATCCTCAAACTAGTTGCAGAGAAGGTAAGATAGTCCAATCATCATCTCCATGTGTGAAGAAAGCTAACTTGTTATTACCACCATATATAGATTACCATAACTTTGTAATTGGGGTTGGATGCAGGGTTTGCCGATAAAAATCAAACTCACCATCAATATAACCAAAGAGTTCATATTCACCTTCAGAATCATTTATATCATGCAATTTCAAAGTTGTTAATGAAGGGAGATGCATGGATCAAATTATTTGTTGATATGAAGGGATTAAATAGATTCCACATTGATAGTTACGCGATCCACTGTGACCAGCCATCCATGGCAAGAACCGCGACAGAGCAGGTTATGAGCAACAGGTGCTTGAAAATTCAAAACTCTTTTCTTAGTAAGGCTGTAAAAACTGCGAGTATGAGTATGGTCATCGTCAGTAGGTATCATGAGCATTGGAAGTTGGCGGGGCAAATGGTGTCGGTTTTCAGTATAAATAGATAGCCATGAACGACAAACAGCGCCAAATCTAACGTAGTCCTTAATGTTGCAGAACAACTTCTCACTAATGAGACTTAACATATGCTCTGGAAGCGTCAACCAATCAACTCTAACACTCCTCATCTTCATTATCAGAAAACCTTAAAAGTAGATAAAACACTGGTTTGAACAACGTATTACATACCTGGACGGGGTCAATGAGTGTTCAAGAAGGTTCATGGCCTAGGTTAGTGACCTCCATGGCACACTTGGGAGGGGTGCTTAGCCTAAGATCTCCCCCCTCTCTGGGTGCATGAGTGCATCTACGTCATAATTTGTTGCTGCTGAGGTGTGTGCTTGCGCCGCCCCTTTTAATAATAAT